CGCATCATCTCCTGTAGGATCTGGGGGGACGTGGGGCTCAGGGGGTCTGGGGGGGGCACACGGTGGGGAGGGATGCGGGGCCACTCACCGGCTTCAGCTCTGTGACGTCCCAGTCCAGGTATTGGGCCACCCGCATCATCTGGGTGATGATCCGCTCCACCTCCTGCAGCACGGCGTGGCGAGGATGAGGGTGGGGGTGATGGCGGGGGTCCCAGATGCCCCCCCCAGCCCTGTCCCCTCACCGAGCTGTCCAGGAGCCCGTTCCCATCCTTGTCGTACAGCTTAAATGTGACTGCGGGGGGAGGGAGGGGCACAGCAGTCAGACGGCGGTGCCCCCCCCCCCCAGCCTCCCGGTGCCACAGGACCCCCACTCACACTCCAGCTTGTCCTCGGGGCGCCCGCCCTCCAGCAGTGAGAAGTAGCAGGAGACATCGTTAACGCAGACGAGATCAGCATCTGTGGGATGGACGAGGCTGAACCCACGCTCCCCCCCCCGTGTCCTGACCCACCCCCCCATTTCCCAGTCCCCCCCCATGTCCTCACCAGCACCCGGCTGCCCTGTGCTCTGGAAGGACCTGAAGAGGTGATGGCACAGCGTGTCCGGGACATCAGCTGCCTCCAAGTAGCTCCTCAGAAACAGCTTGAAGCCCTCAAAGTCCACGCACTGGGGGGGGGCAGAGAGGGGCTGGAGGTCTGCGGAGGGGAAGCAAGCAGCCCCTGGGGTGCGGGGGGGGGGCTCACCTCTCCCTGAAGGTGCTGGGACAGCATCCCGTCACCATAGAACTCCTGCAGCACGTCCTGCACCTTCCTGCTGCTGTCTGCGGGCACAGGCGTGTGCAAGGATGCTCGGGGAGCGCACACACGGCAAGGGGCGCGCGCACACCGTGCACGCATGCACACACGTGTGCAAGGCACACCCACGCCTTGCGTGCCCACGGCTCCATCGCAGCGCACACGTGTGCGCGGCCGCCCCATGCGTGTGAAACCCCTGCCACGCACACGCACAAAGCCACGCACAGCGTGCAGCCACACCCGCGCACACGAGCTGCTTCTCCCCCCCCCCAACTCACAGTCCAGGTACTTCTGGAGCTGGGCAAACTCCTCGGGGCTCAGCGTGCCCCACTCCGCGCTCTCCTCCATTGCGCTGCCTGCGGGCGGAGGGCGGCGGTGGGGACACGGCGGGGGTCTCCCCGCTTTCTCCCCGCCCCGTTTGCCCCGGCACAGCCCCCAACACAGCCCCGCCCCCCCCCAGGGCCGGGCAGGCGGCAGCTCGTTCGCACACGCACAGGTCGGGCTGCTCGCATCCTGCTGCCACGCATCCGGCCGCCTCCCACGCACCCCGCGGGGATGCGGTTCCCTCCCGGCCCCGCGCTGAGGCGGTGCCGGCCCCGAGGGCGAAGGCTGAGCTTTGCTCCCTGCGTGGCACCGGGCGGCAGATGCTGAGCGCGGCCCGGGAGCGGCGCCGGGCGGAGGTTGGGGGGAGGGGATGTGGGACACGGAGCGACAGCCGCAGTCCCCCGGGACCCCAAATGTGACCCAAAGGGGAAGAGGACGATGCGTGCGCGTCCCTCCTGCAGCCTCCCGGAGCACCCATGGGTGATCCCAGCACCACTCCCATCCCCTTCTCCCCCCGCACCGGGGCTGCGTCAGGAACCCGCGCTGGGGGAACCGAGCCGTGGCACGATGCCGGCCCCCCCGGCCCGAGGTCGGACACGGCCCCCGGGACCCCCCCCGGAGCGGCGGCTGGTTCCCTTATTTAGTAACGGGCAAGGAACGGGAACCGTGGGGGGGGGGGGGGGGGGTGAGGCACCCGCTCACGGCCCCTCTCCGCTCCCGAGACCCCCGGGCTGCGCTCTCTCCCTCGAGGACCCCGGGGCGAGGCGGCTGCCATCGTATAGGAGGCACCGGGGCCGCCTCTCGCCGTGCCGGTGTCCGCGCAGCCCGGGGCGGCTCCGGGACGCGCAGGTGGGAGCGGCGGAGCCCAGCGGCGGGGCGGGCGGGGCCGGGCCCTTCGCTTTCCCCGTTTTCCTCCTCCTGCTGCGCCCCGGGAACGAGGAGGCGGAGGAGGGACGGGACGGGACGGGAACGCAGCTCGGAGCTCACCGCGCTGAGCACCGGGAAGCGGATCGGGAGGGGCGCGGAACCGGGCGGCGGCACCCAACCCACGCCCCAGGGTGCAGCCCGGGCCGTACCCCGTCGGTGCCGCTTTCTTCCCGTTCCCCGCGCGGTGCCGTCGGTTCAGCTCAGCCCGATGAGCTCCGCTCAGATCGGACCGAGCTCCGCACCGCCTGCTTCAGTTCGCTCCGGTTCGATTCCTTCCGACGCAGCCAACCCCGGTGCGGCTCATCCCGGTAGCACTGCTCTCGTCCCGCCTCGCCTCGCCTCGCCTCGCCCCGCCCCTCCCTCCCGGCGCCGTCCCGCCACACCCCCGGTGCCCGCCGGTACCTGCGGGGCTCCGCTCGGTGCCGCCGCTCGGTCCGGCCCGGTGCCCGCGCGCTGTCGCCGCGGCCCAGCCCCTCTGACATCACGGCTCGGGGCGGCACCGGGAACACGTGCGGCGGGGGGGCACAGCGCCGGGGCGGGGTCCGCTCCTCTCCGCTCCCTGCCGGGCTCGCACCTGTCCCGCGCTCACGGGGGCCGCTTCCGTTGTACCTTAAATCGGCCGGGGGGCTGGCAGGGGTCTGGGACTGGAGGGGGGGGCAGAGGAGAACGGGAAGAGGTAGAAGGGGGCACGTGTGGAAATCCCCGCGGCAATCGCAGCGCGGGGCCGGGCCGCATCCGGACTGCCCCGGGGATGCGGCGCTGGAAGGAAGGGCAGTTTGTCGTCGTCGTCGTCGTCGTGTCCCCCCCCCCCCCATAGTGAACCGCATGATGCTGCGGTGCGGGGAGCCCCGACCCTCCTTGTTCCCCAAACACGGGCTGCCCCGTGACGCCGAAGCGGGGCGCGACCGGCCCCGAAGGCTCGGTTGAGGCGGGTTATCCCCCGGTCACCCCGGACCCGCAGCGCGGGCACTTTCTAGCCAGGCATCACCGCAGCTAAACCCCGCACCCAGCGACTCCGCACAAAACGGAGCGCTGCGCCTTTAAAAACAAAATGGCCGCCGCCTCCCGCGAATCTCCCCAATCCCCTGTCCGGACGCCGCGCCGCTACTTCCGGGGGCGGGGCGTGGGGGCCGGAAGTGTATCGCGCACGCAAGATGGCGACTCCCTATGTGACTGATGAGACCGGTGAGTGCGCCGCGGTGCGGGCCCGCCGCTGCGGGACGGGGTCGGGCGGCTTCGGCGCTGCGGAGCGGGGATCTGCAGGGCGCGGTGAGGCCGAGGCCGCGCCTGGGGGCGGCGGGGCGGCTGCGCTCCGCGGGCTGGGCTCCGTCCCTTCTCTCCGTGGGCTCGGTTCCGTTCTGCTTTTTCCCTGTGGGTCCGCGCCGCGGCCCCATTTCTGCGTGGCGTTTCCCACAACGCACACCGTGGGCTCGGACCTCCCCATACGTTCCCTGTAGGGTCAGATCTTCTTCCTATGTTTTCTCTGGGGTCAGATCTTCACCCTGAATTCTTTACGGGCCAGTATCTCCCCCCACACACGCTCTCTATGGGGTTACATCAGTCCCCCCGTGCTCTCCGTGGGGTCACATCTCCCACTCCTGTGTTTACTCCCATCCTCCCATGTCCCTGCAGGGCCGGTCCCTTCCCTTCCCCCCAGAACGGTACCAGGTGCCGGGCAGCCCCCAGCCCCGTGGGAGGAGCAGCCCCTTGTGCCCCCCACCCGACGTTGCTTTCTCCCCCATAGGGAAGTACATCGCCTCTACGCAGCGCCCTGACGGCACCTGGCGGAAGCAGCGGCGCGTGAAGGAGGGCTACGTGCCACAGGAGGAGGTGCCGGTGTAAGTGGGGCAGGCAGCCAGGTGTGGGGTCCTGGGGTGGAGCCCCATTGCTGGCATCAGAGCGATGGTGTCGGTGTGCCCAGGATCCCAAATTTGGGCACTTTGTGCTGTTACCTGCGCCCCGCTGGGGCTGTGGGTGCGTGGCAAGGCTGAGAGACCCCAGTGTCTCTGAACCAGGTCACATATTGAGGTCTCAGTCTCTTTCCAGGTGCCTGAGCACTTCTGACCCCCTTAGCCCTTAGCTGAGTCCTGATGGTACGTATCTGGCTGCTCCTCTGCGCAGAGCTGGGCTAAGCCACGGCCATGAGGACGTCCTGAGGAGCTCAGGGCAGTGCTGGAGCTGAGCTCTGGGTCAGGGCTGTGCTGTGCTGATGGCGAGGCCGGAGGTGGTGAGGTTTGCAGCTCCACGGGGGCAGCAGTGCCGTCACTGCATCTCCTCCCATGCAGGTATGAGAACAAATACGTGAAGTTCTTCAAAAGCAAGCCTGAGTTGCCCCCGGGGCTGAGCCTGGAGCCCAACGCCCAGCCCGGCAAGCAGCCCAGCAAAGCGGAGGGCGGGGAGAGCGGACTGTCCAAAACAGCAAAAAGGAACTTGAAACGCAAGGAGAAGAGGAAGCAGCAGCAGGAGAAAGGCGAGAGGGAAACAGACGAACTGATCCAATCGCTGGACAAGGTCTCCTTGTCGGGGGGCAGCGGCGGGGACACGAGAGCGGCCGCACCGCAGCCGGCCTGCAGCGCCCAGAGCTCCGCTGACGGGGAAGCCGCAGCCTCAGAGAAAAGCAAGAAGATCAAGAACCTGAGGAAGAAGCTGCGGCAGGTGGAGGAGCTGCAGCAGCGGCTCGACTCTGGGGAGATAAAGCAGCCGACCAAGGAGCAGCTGGAGAAGCTGGGCCGGAGGAAAGCCCTGGAGGAGGAGCTGCAGGAGCTGGAGCTGGACTTGTGAGGGGGGGCCGTCGTGGGGCCGGCGTCCCCAGCGCAGGCTGTCTGGACTGAGCGCCGGCCCCTCTTTCCCGGGGTTTTGTTTTGGGTGGGTGCCGTCGTTTTTCCACAACAGTTGTTTTTCGGTTTGTTTCTTTGTTTCCCAGCTATCAGTGTTAGGAAGTCGGCGACTCTCAGATACCTCTCTCCTTTTTAAAGTTTATTCGGGGGAGCCGGGCAGGGCTGGTGCTGCGGGGGAGGCGGGGGCAGCAGCTCTTCCTTGACTTCTTCCCCAGCCCCTCGCATTCTGTGTTACGGCCTGTCGTCCTCTTCCTTTTATTTTTAAGAGCGCAATAATAAAATTGCAGTAGTGACCCCGCGGCAGGAGCTCAGCTCTGCCTTTCCCTGCTGAGGACGTGCAGGGATCCCCCCGCGCTCCCCAGCCCCCTCAGCCCGCCCAGCCAACACCAGCATCACTTCTGGGAGCTGCGTGGGGCACAGCTGCCTTTGTGTCCCGTGAGCAGCGTTGGAGCGTCGGCCCCCTCTTGTGCCCCATTTTCTGGGTGGCCCCGCGCTCCGGCTTGGCACCAGCCCACGTCCTGCTGCCCGTCGGGAGGGACGGCGCTCGTTCTGCCCCAACCCTGCGCTGGGCTCTGCTGGGAGACGGGGTTTGGGTTCATCCTGCGTGGGGCTGAGCAGGGAGAGCTGTGGTCGGTCCCGGGATCGGGGAGGTGGTGCATGGGGATGGAGCCGGGAAGTTTGAGATGGGAGAGATGATGTCCATAAGGGGACATCATGGGGGATTCTGGGGGTCGCTGGAGCATGGAGGAGGAGGTGTGGGGGGTCTAGGGAGCTCAGGGCTCACAGATGGGGGTGTTGGTGGTTTGGGGGATGCAGGAACGGGCAGCCCAGGTGGTCGGTGGAGCTGGGGGCCTCGTGGCAGCAGGAATGGGGGTATAACAGGTTTGGGAGTCGGAGAGGGGAGCTGGAGGCATTCAGAACACTGTAGCTCAGGTACAGCAGTGCGTGCACAGCACTGTGTGCGTCCTACAGAAATTGCTGTGGGGAGTTATTTGCTATGAAGTCTTTCCTTGCCCTGGAGCGAGAGTAGAGCTGAACCTCTCTGGAGCTGACAGGGAGCAGGGATCGCAGTGGGTGTGGGGCTGGTTGTGGGGCAGGAGCTCCCATTTACCCTATGAGGATGCCCTGTTATTATTTGCCTGCTTAAAAAGGGCAGGCGTGGTGGGGGGACAGCAACCCACAGCGGGTGGGGGGCACAGGGGCCTCTCAGAGGTGGCCTGGAGGCACCGAGGTGGCGAAGGACACAGCGGAGCCACAGCCATCACTGGGGGTCCCAGCCGGGTCCGGGGGGCTGCGTTCTCCAGCTGCAGGTCCCACGAGCTCTGGGGGTGGAAAGGGGTGTCAGCGGTGGTGCGGGGCCCCCCCTGCTCCCCCAGCACAAACTCACCGAGGCCAACGTGTTGCACAAGCCGTGTGTCACTGGGCCAGGCTGGTGGCAGTGGCTGCACTTGGAGGGGGTTCGGTTCTGCTGGCATTTGGCTTCCTGCTGATGGAGGTGCAGCAGCTGCAGTCATTTCTGGCACCAACTGAGGATCACTGTAGGGAGGGGGCTCGGCACCGGCCCCTGCCATCACCCCCAGCCCCATGGCCATCTCCTCAGTCCCTATGCTGCCCCCATTGCCGTCTCCACCTCCCTCATCATTTCCATCACCTTCCGTGTCCCCTTCCCCACCTCCGCTGCCCCACGCTCATCATGCACACCCTATAACAGTTCCCATCCCCATCCCATCCCAGTTCACTCCTCACCCTATCCCATTCCACCTTCCATCCCCACACCTATTCCCATTTCCATCTCAACCCATCCAAGCCTCCATCCCCACAGCCACCCCACCCCATCCCATCCCAACCCAATCCCAATCCCAATCCCTAACCCCATCCCATTGCCATTCCCACCTCCTCCCCACAGCCATTCCCACCCCACCCCTCCCCACCCTCCTCACCGTTGCTGCAGCAGGACACCAAGCAGGCTGAGCGCCGGCCAAAGCCCCAGCACGACCCAGCTGTACCAGCAGAGCTGCCCCACCGCCGCCATCCGCAGCCTCTCGGAGACGTGGAGCACCAAAGCAAACCCCTCCACGAAATAATCCACACACACCGCCACCACGGCGGCGCCGAGGACGGCAGTGGCCAACGTGGTCAGCGCTTTGGGCCACCGCAGGGCCAGCAGGGCGCAGAGCAACGCCGGGCCCAGCAGGACCCCCACCAGCACCCACGGGCTCAGCGGCGGCACCAGCGGCGCAGCAGCTGCCAGCACGGCCGCGGCCAGCAGCAGCCCCAGCAGCAGCCCGGTGGAGAAGAGCCCGACGCTGCGCAGCAGAGCGGTGACCAACCCGCAGAGCGAGCCGATGGCCAACGCGATGCCTGCGCTCACCTCCAGGCTCAGCCGCGTCTCCAACACGCGCTCCTTGTAGCACAGCAGGAAGATGGTGCTGGAGCCCAGGAGCAGCCCCGAGGTGAACATGATGGCTTTGAAGCAGCGATGGCCTGCGGGGGATGCGGGGCTCAGTGGGGGCTGCGCCGCGGTGTCCCCGGTGCCACCCCCCAGCTGCGCCCCGTGGACGCATCCTGTCCTGTCCCCGCTGCCAAATGTGTTCCGTGCAAACGCCCCATTGCACCCCACAGTGCCTGCCGTGCCAGCCCCTGTCCATGCACCACGTGTCCCACAGTGTCCCCAGTGCCATCCCCCATGGACACATCCCGAGGTGGCCCCGCGTCACACCCCACAGCCTCCCCCTGGTATCTCCTCCCCCTACCCCCGGCGGTGCCCCCCCGGCGCTGTGCCACCCCCACCCCTCACCAACGCAGCCATAGAGAAGGCCGAGGACGCAGCCGAGGGCGCAGAGGACCGCCGGACCGGGCTCATAGTGCAGCCATGGCTCCAGGCGGCAACGCGGCTCCGCGGGGGCTCCGGGCTCCATCCCGGGCCGGGGAAGGGGGCGGGCGGGGGTGAGGCTGTGCTGGGGGCGGTGGAAGCGCCCAGAGGGAGCCCCGCTCCGCTCCCCCCCATTCGCGCATCTGGCGGCGGGGCCACATCTGGGGCGGGGAATCGGAGGAGGGCGGGAGGGGCCGGGGGGAACCGGGGGCTCTGAGAACATCGGGAGCAGTGGGAGGGGGTCGGGAGGGGCGAACTCTGGAGCCACCGCGGCTGCAGAGTCGACTCCATTGCTGGGGACACAGTGAGGAACTACGGGGGGGTGTGTGCTGGGGGGAGGGGGGGTCTTCGGGACACACTCGTGTACCCTGGGACAGCCCAGAGCATTCCTAAGGTCCTCCTTGCGACCCCCTTCCCCCCCCCCAGAGGACTCCAAGGGTCCCCATCGGCACCCAGGACCCCCCAGCCGCTCCCGGAGCTCCACACGTGGCCCGAAGCAGCCGCGGACCCCCGGCACCACCCGGACCCGCGGGCACCGCTATGCTGCCCCCTGCTGGCCGAGGGGAGGCACCGCACGACCAGCGGGGCGCCGCTACTCCGTGCCGTTGTGCGCATGCGTGAGGCCGTCTGGAGGACTTAGAGCAGCAGAGTTGGGCGGACTGGCGGCGCAGAGCGGTAACTGCGCAGGGACGCCACTTCCGGATTTCAGCGCGAAACTGTCGCTTCTCGAAGACCAAAAGCATGGAGCCGGCCGGAGCGGGGGCACAGGGCGGTGCGCAATGCCGTGTGCACGAACAGCGCATAGAGATCCAGGACGGCAACCCCCAGCACAGCCCACGGACAATAAGCCAGAGCCAAACCTGTGAACGTTGCAGCTTTATTGAGCCCCACAGTGCAGCAGCCCAGAAAGGCACTCATTGGAATCTATCAGTACTCCTCCCCATCCTCCTCGCCCTCCACGCTGTCAGCCCCCACCTCCTCGTAATCCTTCTCCAGGGCAGCCATGTCCTCCCGCGCCTCCGAGAACTCCCCCTCCTCCATGCCCTCCCCCACGTACCAGTGCACAAAGGCTCGCTTGGCGTACATCAGGTCGAACTTGTGGTCCAGGCGCGCCCAGGCCTCGGCGATGGCCGTGGTGTTGCTCAGCATGCACACGGCGCGCTGCACCTTGGCCAGGTCCCCCCCGGGCACCACGGTGGGCGGCTGGTAGTTGATGCCCACCTTGAAGCCGGTGGGGCACCAGTCCACAAACTGGATGCTGCGCTTGGTCTTGATGGTGGCGATGGCGGCGTTGACGTCCTTGGGCACCACGTCCCCGCGGTACAGCAGGCAGCACGCCATGTACTTGCCGTGCCGCGGGTCGCACTTCACCATCTGGTTGGCCGGCTCGAAGCACGCGTTGGTGATCTCGGCCACCGACAGCTGCTCGTGGTAGGCCTTCTCGGCAGAGATCACCGGTGCGTACGTGGCCAGGGGGAAGTGGATGCGCGGGTAGGGCACCAGGTTGGTCTGGAACTCCGTCAGGTCGACGTTCAGAGCGCCGTCGAAGCGCAGCGAGGCCGTGATGGAGGACACGATCTGGCTGATGAGGCGGTTCAGGTTGGTGTAGGTGGGGCGCTCGATGTCCAGGTTCCTGCGGCAGATGTCGTAGATGGCCTCGTTGTCCACCATGAAGGCGCAGTCGGAGTGCTCCAGCGTGGTGTGGGTGGTGAGGATGGAGTTGTAGGGCTCCACCACGGCCGTGGACACCTGCGGGGCCGGGTAGATGGAGAACTCCAGCTTGGACTTCTTGCCGTAGTCGACCGACAGCCGCTCCATCAGCAGCGAGGTGAAGCCGGAGCCGGTGCCGCCCCCGAAGCTGTGGAACACCAGGAAGCCCTGCAGCCCCGTGCACTGGTCAGCCTGCGGGGACACAAGAAGGGGTCAGGTGGGATCCAGGCAGCTGCGCAGCTCGGCCCTTCCTCTCATGGCCTCGTGAGGACATTCTGGAGGTGCTGCTTTTGGGGGTCTCTGTTGGTAGGAGGCACCAGGGTGATGGGGCACCGCCAGCCGTTTCAATCTGCTGCCCCTTGAGGCGTGGATCCCTTTGGGGGACACAGCCTGTGCGGTGGTGGCACTGGGCAGATTGGGGGAAGATGCATGAATTGGGGTTCAGAGCAGCTCAGCCTCAGTCATGGCCTCGCATCCCACGCTTGTGCACCATGCCTGTCCTGAGCCATCCTGCTTCAAGCTGATGTGCCAGCATCGCCTGCAGCACAGCCAGCAGCACCACAGCTCTGCTGCTGGTGTGGGAATAGAAGTTCAAAGCAATGGGGCAGCAGCACCGGTCCAACCGGCCCCATAGCGGCGGCGACACCCACACAGAAGCCCCAGGTCCAGCCACAAGCAGACAGGTTGGCACCAGGCGCAGACGGCCCTGGGGGTGGTGTGGGGAGGGGACGGCGCTGACCCATCCGCCCTGCCCTGTCCCTCTGAGGCAGCCCCACCTGCAGTGCTTAATGCTGCTGACAGTGTGAGAAGGAGCTGCTGATCCCCACCCCATTCACCTTCCCTCACCTTTAGGTGGGGACTCGCCCAAGGAGACTTAGTATGGAGGGAATCTTCACACGACCCATGAGAAGGAAAGTGAGGTTTTCCAAAGACAGGAGCTGCCCTGCGCCCCGCAGGCCCATCGCACACCCACAGCCAACACAGTTGCTATGCAGGCTGCAGCAGCAGCACACCGCAGCACCCAGAGGTGCGGGCTCAGTGTCCCACCCACCGCAGGAGGAGGAGGAGGGGGTCCCATAGGAGGGGGTCCCATAGGAGGGGGTCCCACGCTCCCGCTGCCTGGGGGCCCCAACGACGCGCCGTACCCACCAGCTTGCGGATGCGGTCCAGCACCAGGTCGATGATCTCCTTGCCGATGGTGTAGTGCCCCCGGGCGTAGTTGTTGGCCGCATCCTCCTTGCCCGTGATCAGCTGCTCGGGGTGGAAGAGCTGCCGGTACGTCCCCGTGCGCACCTCATCTGCGGGCACCGCCAGCGCCGTCAGCACCGCCACGGCCCCCCCTCGGCCCCCCCAGCCCCCAGCCCGCCCCGCTCACCGATCACAGTGGGCTCCAGGTCCACGAATATGGCACGGGGCACGTGCTTGCCAGCCCCCGTCTCGCTGAAGAAGGTGTTAAAGGAGTCGTCCCCCCCGCCGATGGTTTTGTCGCTGGGCATCTGCCCGTCGGGCTGGATGCCGTGCTCCAGGCAGTACAGCTCCCAGCAGGCATTGCCGATCTGCACGCCCGCTTGGCCCACGTGGATGGAGATGCACTCACGCTGCGGGGGGACGGAGGGGGTTTGGGTGCCGCCCTGCTGCGCCCCAGCACTGCGGAGCTCGAGGCGGGGATCTGCCCGCGGTCACCCCTGTGTTCTCACACTTCTTCTGGGACAGCAGCTCTCAAATTTGGGGCTGTCTGACCCAACTGCTGTGCTGCATTCGTCAGTGCACAGCTGGAAGCGGCTTTTCCCCGTCGTTTTTCCCAGTTGTACTGGGATGGGGACACCGTTTGGGACACCCTGCCCTACAGCTCTGCCGCGTGCTGCCTCCCCTTCTTCAGGGCTGAGCTTAGGGCTCTCTCCTGTTCCACCCCAGCTGCTCTGGGATGCGGTGCTCTGCCATTCTTTTCCCCACCAGTCAGTGCCCCACATCGCAATCCCAATGCCCACAGCTCAGCCCAGCCCCACAGACCCATGTCGAGGCTCAGGGTGGGGCAGGAGCAAACTCCAAAGGCCACGAGTGCAGAGTCAGAGACTCATGTAGGATCCGGCAGCTCCGCAGGGCTCTGCCTGGGTGGAAAACAGGCGCTGCCCCACGCGTGACTCACATCCACGGGGATCCACGAGCGACCCCACACACCTCACTCCCAGGCAGCACCCAGGAACAGGAACGCACGGTTCCCACTTCCCCTTGTCTAACTATTACTCACCTAAGTCCTGCAGCCCCCACCCCGCAGACCCCGACCCCCAACTCGCGCAGCCTCCCCCCCCCCACATCTCCATGCCCTATCCACAATACACGTGGTTCCAGCGACCCCCGACCCCACGCACTGCCCACGTGAGTTCCGCAGCCCTTCCACGCCGGAATCCTCCCAACCCCGCGCACAGGGTCCCACAGCCCACCCGTGTCCCCCCTCACCATGGCCGCTCACTACCCGACCCGTTATGAAGCCGCCGGTGAGAGGAACAGAGAGAAGCCCCCTCCCCCGGACCGCCCTTATATACCCGAGGGGGCGTGGCCTCAATGGTGCGGGACACGCGTGGGCGTGACCCTGACGCCCCGCCCCCTTCAGACACCGCCCTCATCACGCTCCGCCCTTTCCGCCCCGCCCCGCCTTTGATTGGTCAGATCGAACGTCGGATGCGGGAGGGCGGGACTTTTTCCAGGGGGCGTGGTCTGTGGGTGCAGCCAACGGGATGTGGGGGCGTGGCCTATCGGGCGACGGGCGTGGTTTGAGCAGAAGGGGCGGGGCGTTCCCAGGAGGGGCGCGGAGGGGCTGCAGGCGGACCCCAACGCGGGGGGTCCCGGTGCCCCCCAGCCCCAGTCCTGCAAAGGCGGAACCGGGACCCGGGGGGGCTGAGGGGCCCCGCTGTCCCCGTGTCGCCGTTCCCGTGGGAATCCCCGCGGGGCACCGCCGCGCCGTCTCCTTTTCCCGCTGCCGTCGCCTTTGTTCCTCCGCCAGCGCCGGGGGGGGGCATTTCCACGGGGCGGCAATGGCGTGGGGGGCGGGGGGGGCAGATCCTGTAGGGCTGGAGGAGCGGGCCGGGGGGTGGGGAGAGCACCTCGTGGGTCACCTCAAGTCTGGCCTCGGGCTGCGGGTGGGGACCGTTTGGGGTCACATTCCCAGGGTTTGGGGATCTCCGTGCCCCCCCGGGTGGGGCTTTGGGGGGGGGGGGGGCGGGGGGGAATGCTGCCCCTCTATTTAAGGGCCCCGAGGACTCAGTGGGGGGGAGCAGGATGTTCCCAGAGCCGAGGGAGCCCTCTGCCCCAGGGGGGGTCCTGAGTGCGGTGTGTCCCTGCAGTGCCACTACGATCCCCTGTGTGCCTGGGGGTCCACCTG